CCTGCGCCCCCGGGGGTGGGTGCGGATGGGTGTGGGCGCGTGGGGCTTCAGTGGGCACCTCAGTTACTCTCTCCATAAATTTTTATAGCTGAGGGAGCAGGCCGGGACCATGTGGCTGGCTGCATGTCTGTGGGCAAAAAGGGGGGTGGAGATGGAGGGGGGAGGAGGATTCCATTTTCAGAACAGAGGCTCCACGGTGGAGAGAAATGGGGGCTTTCCAAAATGCTTGGAAATTCCGGAGCTTTCGGTGGGCCGGGGAGATGGGAGCACAGTTGGGGATCCCCGCCTGCCAGCGTGGGGGAGTGGGTTGGTGTGATGAGGTGGTAGGAGCGAGCGTGTGTGCTGGGGGAGAGGGCGGGCGGGAGGGAGAGGGGCTGGGAGCGCTGGGAGGGCCTGGGGCGCGCCAGGAAGTGAGCGCGTTGGCCAGGGGCCTAACTAGTGGCCAGGCGCTGACCTGACCGTGCGGTCTGTTTTGTCTCTCAGTGAACCCCAACTACACCGGCGGGGAGCCCAAGCGGTCCCGGACAGCCTACACCCGGCAGCAAGTCCTAGAACTGGAAAAGGAATTTCATTTTAACAGGTATCTGACGCGGCGCCGTCGGATTGAAATCGCTCACACCTTGTGTCTGTCTGAGCGCCAGATCAAGATCTGGTTCCAGAACCGGAGGATGAAGTGGAAAAAAGACCACAAGCTGCCCAACACCAAAGGCAGGTCCTCGTCCTCCTCGTCCTCCTGCTCCTCCTCGGCCGCCCCCGGCCAGCATTTGCAGCCGTTGGCCAAGGACCACCACACGGACCTGACGACCTTATAGAAGTGGGGACCCTGGGCCCATCCCTCCCTGCGCTCCCGGCTGAGCCGAAGCCGCAGGGGCAGGCCCGGCCTGCTGTCACCTCGCTGGGCTCTAAGGTACTGTAGGGTGGACCTGGGACGTGCAGGCCGTCCTTGGACTAGGTTAGCATCCTGCCCGAGGGCAGCCCCCTACCTGGAGCAGGTATGGGGGTGGGAGGGGGACGGGACTCTCTCTCTAAGTATATGATCATATGGCAGGAGCTACTGAGAACATAAAACCTTGGCGAGTCATTAAACTCATGAAAATCTCCGCTGTTGGATTTTGAATTTACAAGTGAAGGTTGAATGCTTTACCCCAGTGTGAATTTGAACATCCTCCCCCACCCCACCCCTCCAGGGATGCTGTGGTTTAATAATGTGGGGGAGTCAGGCAGCAGGTTAGCAACCCCTGTGCTAGGTGCTTTCAATGGAAGCCGGAGAGCTGTGCCAGGATTTCTGAACTTTCTGGGTTGTCTGTATAATTTCCAGTGTGAAATTATATACATTGTTCCCACTGGCCCATGCCCAAAGAAATGAGTCTAAGAAGGAAGTGGAAACGGGTTGTTTTATGTTTAGATTATATTTGCTTAAATATTTATTTGGTGGGGAATGGGGTACAGAAATAACTGACATCTTAATGCCAAAAATCTTAAGATGGTGAAAGGGTCCAAATTTCAGGGAACAGAATCAGAGATGTGTGGACTTACTTCAGGCTGTAACTGGCATTTTGAACCCCACCCCCTCCCCATTCCCCGGAAATGTGTGTAGGGGCCCTTAACCCTTCTAGAGGGAAGCAAAGAGTCCACTCTGAGTTGCATTCTTGAAAATATATTTCCACATGTGCTTTTTTCAGCACTGTGCTACAACCAGTATTAAAGGTTGTTAAAGGAAAGGAAAAAAAGAAAGAAACAAATGGTCCAACATTTTCCTTCTGGGGAAAGAAAACAAAACCTCTGTTCTGGGTCATTTGATAATGACCAAATTTTCTGTTCCAACTGGATTCCAAATACCCAAATAGCCCATCTAGCAATATTTTATAAGAACTGGTGTATGGCCTATTTGGGAGAAGGGGGTGTGCAGTGGGAAGAAAGTGGGAAGTAGAGGAAGTCTTACTTTAAAAAGGAAAAAAAAAACCTAATTGAATCTAGAAGTCCACGAAAGTTGGTCTTAGGGTTTTTCCCTGAAGTTTTTATTTTTAAAACAAACCTTAAGGAAGTTTTTCTCAATCCATTAGTTGGAAGCAGAAATTGTAAAAGTACAAAAGTTTTCAGGCCCTCTTTCTTGCCTTGAGAATAGTGGTTTAAAACAATCGCTCTCGAACAACAGGAGAGATATTTTTAAATCATTTTTCTTATGCCTTGCCTGGGAAGGGTTCAAAGCTCATTTTTCTAAAATGTTGACCTGTAGGGATAAGGGGAAAGAGTCAAAGGTAATGACCAGGGTTTATATACTCAAAGGAAACGGGGCTTCGAAAGTTTAAATCCCAAAGCCTGGGGCTCCAAAAAGAAACCCCAGGTTGTAGCTATCAAAAAGTGACAAAAGCAGGGAGGGATAAAGGGTGAGCTTAAAAGAGAGACTCAGAATTGGGTTATTTTTTTTTTCAGTGCTTCTGAACACTTTAGTAATTAAAAATACATTTAGGTGGAGGGGAAAGAAAAGATTTTCTTTGCAGCCATGTTCTTTGGTTCAGTGTCTCCTGAGAGTTGAGGGCAGGTATTCACTGGAGTCCCTAGGCTGAAATTCCACTTCTCTAAAGTATCTTCCAAGCCTTGGTCTTTTGTATTAGACCCTGGGGACAGCTCTTTGTTCCTCTTTGGGGTGAGCCTGGCTCTCAGACTTGCACATGGCAATACTTGAATATCGGCACGTCGGGATATTAAAGATGGATATTCCTGCATTATTCACATCATTGTTTCTATGACAAAAAGCACAGAGTTCATACATAGTCAAGATGTCTTTTTTCTGACACCCTCACGTTGAGAAGCTGAAAAGGTATTTTACTGAAGTTCGGGGCTAAATTACAGAATCAGGTTCATCCAGAGGACAAATTTTCTATTCGATTAGCTGTATTTCAGCCGGGAGGACTGACCTCTAAACCCTTAACCTTTTGGACTCTAACTACCCTTCTCTTCTTTTTTTTCCCCCCTCTGACATGGAGAGTGGTCTTTGGATGTAACAGTTGAAAAGAGCAGTTATCCTTGGACAAGTTGGAAAGTTGCTAAGATTCTTTCTTAAAACCCAGATCTGTGAATACATTTAACGTCTCCTTGGGAGGGGGTAAAAGTATGTTTTCACAACAACCAACTACTATACAGGGGTGGGCAAAAGTAGGTTTATAGTGTAATACAAATAAGTGATACAATAATTAATCAATAATAATACAAGAATAAATTCTATTCCTCATACTTACACCTGTAAACCTACTTTTGCCTACCCCTATATACTGTAGAGATTATTTATAGATTCCCCCTTTCCCAAAAGTTCAGGTTACTTAACCCAGCTTTAGGCCAAATGCCAAAACTACTTAAACACCTTCACCCCTGTCCCAATATAAAGCCAAGAGGAAAGTTTTGATGAAGAAAATCCAAGCTCATTCTCAAACATAGCCCCATTACTTAGGAAAGTAACTTAATCAGAGAAACAACTTCTTTGTTTATAAGTCCTCAGCTCTCCTTCTCAGCTTCCAGGAATTGCCTTTTGAAATGTTAATTTAGCTTGGATGGCCCAGAGGGCAGCCCACGATCCTGAGGTCCTAACTGGACCTCAGCACCCATTTGGGCCCACAGGAGTGGGGCAGGGAAGAAGCAGGACCCCCACCCCCCACCCCAACCACCTAGAGCAGGGAAGGAAATGAGTTTCCATCTGGGAACGTGCTCTAGAGAAAGCTAGATGTAGAAAGGCTCAGTGCCCATTTGCTTTTATTTGTTTCCACTTTGTTCCCCCAAATATGAGCCAGAAGTGTTTGTTTTGGTGGTGTTGTTTTTTAAAGCTGTGTTGGGGTTGTGACTAGGGGGAATGAAGTATTTGCTGAGGACATTGCTCCTCGAACTCCCATCTCACTTTGTCCATTGCAGCCTTTTGTTGGGAGATGATATTGTCAGTCAGCCCATGGTGTTTGTTCACACAAGATGCTTTTTAAATAGAATTGACCAATGTTCTGCTGCCATTGATTAAAGTATTATTTATACTAATTGTTGCCTGTAGTTTTGATGTAATTCATTGATCTATATTTGAAATAAAAGGTATAGCGAAATCTCCCTCCTGTTTGGTGCCTCCACAGAAGCATTCTTCATTAAGTCTTCTGACAGCTAACATTCAATATAAACTTTTTTTTTAATTTTCTGAAATGTGCTTGGCATATGAAGGTTAAACTGTGTAAGGCTTAGCAATTCTATCATTACACCCTCCCCCATACATACATACACGCATACTGCCAATTTGGCCACCATATTTTGTGAGCATTGGGAAGTCTGGGGTTGAATTCAGGCTGCTGGGTGGTGGACATCATTTTTGAAAGGAAAATAAGTTACTGGCCTACAAGGATGCTCCAGGTTGGCTTTCTTCGTGGCCCCAATCAGCCCCAGACCTCTTCAGCCTCTGTTTGTGACACAGTGGGTGAGAGATCTCCCCACCCCACCCCACCCCCAACTCTAAGAGAGGGTGTATGGTGTTGAGTTCTGGGCCAAGCTGGGACTGACCCCTCTGGCCCCCAATCTTGGGCTCCTTCTACTTTTCTGGTGGGACTCAACCCTAGTGGGGCCTCTAGCACTTGCCTCTCCTTACCCCCAGCGCCCCCTCCGCCTTCCAGACGACAATAAACACTCCCCAAGATCCAAGTGGCCTGCGCTATTTTTATCACGAGGGCTTTTTAACGTTTTTGCCTCTCCTAGAAAAGGGGCGAAGACAGCAGTTGCAAAGTAGATGGGGGTGGGGGGACTTGCTTGAGACAGGAAATGAGCAGAATGCGTAAAATCAGACATGTGTCCTTAATATATGGAAGCGCTCGCCCCAGACGCGTGGACATGTGTATTTATAAGTGCGCAGACAGAAGTTTAAATATTCAGGCACATTCTATGATGGTCCTTTGCCTGTCTTCTGGCTAATGGCTCCTCCTGTGCCCACCAATACATCAATAGGGCTGTGTGTTGAGTCGCGGGCTGGGACGAGGAGGAAGCGAGTCCACAGCCGAGCCCGCTGGAGTACAGTACAGTCACTCGGCCCCTCGGCAGGCAGCCGGCGCCTCCCGCTGCCCGCCATGTTGGGGAGCTCCCCCTGCCCCCCACG